AATGGGAAGGAATAGCATTTACAGATCACTCAGAATTAAGACACACTGAGAATGGTCCAATGAAATTTCCACACAGTGGTTTGGATAAATTCTGAACCCTCTCAATAGTGCATGTGCATCTCCCTAAGGAGAAAAGTGATAAGCACACTTCAGATATGAATGATGCCCTTCTAAATCTTTTTGAGCTCTCTCTCGCATCATTTGTCTGCACTGTGTAAAGTAAAGGAATGGTGACCTCCTTCATGAAGTTACATAATAACTTACTGGATTTCTGTTCAAACATTTTGCTGAGAAGTGGATTCTGCAAGATCCCCTAAACTTTACTGACATGCGTTCGCACAGAAGCAATTTGTAGCATTGTATGTAGATTGTAGTGGCTCAGTAAAGAACTATTTGGCCTTGATTAAGGGGAGCAATTGAATATGGTTATTCTAAATACTGATTACGATTATTTCTGCAATTATAGGATACACAGTTCAGAGGCTTTCTACTGAGCTACATACTGGAGAAGCTAGGACTTCATTTTTCTGGTGAACCAAACATTGTCCCCTATATCTTTACTTTAGGTAGGGTGATAATATTTAATGTATACTAGTCATACGTGTGTTTACTTATAACAACATATTAATATTTTCTATATGATGGGATGGGGAAATCAGATGAAATTTACCCCACAGGGTATGGCCTACAGAAGGTTCTAAATTACAGTCTTTCTAGTATGTGGGGGAGGGCTTTCAAGAGGAATGTTTCTGAACACTGCCCACTCATAGTATAGCTGAGCTCTACCACTCTTATGAAGTTCTATATGAAGAGGATCCAGGAAAATGCAAAGAAAAGGCAGGGATTCTCTCACTACTGTTCACTCAAGTGGGACCACTGAACACAGTTAACTACAGCATTCAGGCTGATATTGCGGAGAAGAACTTTTGAACTGCCCTATCCCTTGCCTTTGGATTAGGAGTCCCCAGTATTTCTGACGTAATACCCTTGTCTTCCCCGCAACATACCTGCCTCTTGACACAAGCCATCAGTCTGAACTCAGTTGTTCTTGACCCTTCTTTGTCAGGTAGATTAAGTCAATCTAATGACAACTTTAATGGACAATTAAACAAATCAGTTCACAATCTGACCCTGTGTAGGTTCCATTTACTCTGGAATAGGAGTAGACACATGAAACAGGTCTTCTGAAGGAACTGAGATGCAGCAAATCTCCTGCCTTTTATGAGTTGTTCATCTCTCCATACCCTGAGATCTCCTTTGGAAAAAGGCATTGTTTTGTTTTCTGTTTTTCTGTCTGCAAAATGCTTAACTTATTGCAGTTCCTACCATAAAAAAAAATCACAAAAACATTTACTTTAGGTGTCATTTGGCTTGAGTATACAGAATTTTTTATTAATTCACAGTAGACATACTATACGAACATACATGTTTTCTTTATAATTTTTTCAAATCTATGAAAAAATTCTTAGAAGGGTTTAGTCATTTTCTTTTCCATGATTAACCTATTTTTAAGAATGAATTCTATAGCAAATACGATTTAACTGGAAAAAGTTTGGTTTCATTTTATAATGTTGTTTTATGAGTAGAGACAAATATGACATCTATCCAATTTCTGAAATTAAGACACAAATTTCACCCGTCATAGAAATGAAACTGCTCAGTTTATACAATGGGTTAGAGCGTTTCAGAAAGACACTTATAGTTACATTACATTACATTGAGAAACAATGTTCTCACTTGTAATTTGAATTCAGGGAGCATGCTGATCCTTTTTAAGTTTGTCACTGATTTCAGCAAGAGCAAAAAGTTAATTTCTAAATTTACAGTTTCACACACACATGCATGTACACGCACGCACCGTTATCTACAGAGGAATATAGCTGTATCATACCAAGCTAACCTAGGACTGGGCATTTCTACCAATACAAAGTAGAAAATACAAAGAAATCCCATTATAAAAAAATTAGGCATAACCAGCTCATTAAAGATGTTTTCTTCCTAGTCTCCATAAAGTAAAAGTTGCCTACATCCTCCACCCACAAAGGCTTTTGCCCCATCTAAAAAACATCAAATCTATGTATCGCAAGTAACTGTGTACGTCCTCATTACCCACAGAAATGTACAATCCTTTTCTGAGTCAATTTAGACTCTTGGTTTCACTTACACCCTGCCAAAAGTTCCATGGGCTAATTATGAATTGTGTAAAAGCATTTTCCTCTTATCAGTTTTAAATGTGTTTTTAATTTCACTGAATATCCTGGTCTTGTGTTACTAGTCAAGATAAACTCAATTTGCCTGCTCTGTATCAACAATTCCATTATTTTGTATACCCCTATTAAATGATGGATAAAAAATAATGCATCTAAAGAAAACTTTCATGTGGTCAAAGGTCCAAGTAAGTCCAGCAACCAACTGGACTAGCATGACTGAGACACATCAGTTGCTTTACCAATGGTACACAAGGGAGTGATAAGTGCAGTGATATGTGGCTTTGCCTCTCCTGCCCAAAGGATTCATAGGTGTTGGGGGCTGGAAGGGACCTTACAAGATCATCAGGTCTAGCCCCTCTCCACTTGAGAAGATCATACTGACAGCTAGGTCATATGGAAGAAGCCTTCAGCACAAATATGGCATAAAGATCTAAGATGTACCTCTGCAATTCTTGCAAGATACCTTAAATACTTTGCCAGGACAGCCCTAAAGAGCTATCCATAGAATGCACCTATACGTCACCCTATGGCAACGTAGCAACTCACTACATTGCCATACCACGTGCTACAGTGAAGTAGCGATCACATGTGTCTACACGTAATCGCCAGCTACATCACTGTAGCAGTGTACTCCCCAGGTATAGTGCACTGCTATGGTAATGCAGTGGCAAAATCTATCTGTGCACCACACACACAGTGCAGTAGCCACCTGTACTGCTCTGTGCTTAATATTTCCAAAAGGAAGTATGGGACTGTAGCAAGTTGCCAAAAGAGGGTGTGTAGATGCACCCATAGTGTATTATCATATAGCTTAATATTGATTTTTTAGAATTGTGTATACTAAAAAGGTTTTAATTCAAAGCCTTTTCCCAAGAACAGAACCTCATCAAGTGTGTAAATTCTCCAAATTATTTATTGTAATGTGCATCTGCCAACATAGACTTTTACACTGCCAGGTTGCCCATTCTCTTGGATTTACTCGTAAGTCATCCCAGAGTTCTTCTGTTGTCGCTACTCAAAATAGTTCTGTCATCAGCAGTATTTTTTCTTTACTTTTTCCTATCTTTTCAAGACCATACATTTATAGAGAAATAATCCTGGCACTTGACCTTAAAACTACCAACTCTTTATTTTTTTCTACATTAAAAACTGAACATTTCGTTTAATTATTTGCTTTCTTGCTTCTTAGTTTGTTTGTTGCTGGGTTTTTTTGGTCTCCTAGCTGGCCTCTAATCTAGGACAGTGCTTTACCTCCCATGCAATGATGGAATAATTTCCTTATTAGCCCCTTAAAAGATGTCAGAGTTTATTTAACTGAAAATCATGATGATGTCAACTGATACTTCTTCATCCACTGTGTGGGCAACCTACTCAATACTAGCACAAAGATAGCTATTAGGCTAAAAATAACTTAGATAGGTCTAAGAGTTTTTTGTTATTTTTAACCATGCCAATTAGTTAATTTTCAAAAGAATGTCAGAATCTTATGAATGCATACATATGCATGCACATTATATGTCTGTACTATGTTACATAGGACCAAGACATGTAAATAATGTGATATATACCATGTACACATGCATTATAAATATGCGTACATATTTTTGTATTTGTATACTAGTGTGAATATATAATGCATATTTCTATGTATCCCCCATACAAATACACACCTGTTACTGAACTTTTTAGTGGCGCCTATCTTTTAATTCTGACACAGCAAGCCAAAATATGTAAATGTTGAACTCACTATTTAAAAAGCACCTTTATTTCCTGTCGGATTTGACAGGTCCAGGGAATGAGTTAGTTACATGACATTAGCTCTGCCCAAATGAAGATAAATTACTTGAGAGGCACCAAAAAACAACTGAATCATGTGTTAGGCTGCTACTGTGACAGTCTCGAATCAAAATATTTCCTCCTGACGGACTGCCACCCTTGACAAATTCCAGCCCATTAAAGGAAAGCAAGCCATATTTCCTGCTTTGAATGAAAACCAAATTCAAAACAGGGGGTTTTGTTGTTTGCGTTTCTTCCAGACTGAAGGAAAAGCAATATGCAAATCAAACTTTAGCTGCTTCTGGACTTGCCCTCCCTTTCCTACAGTTTGAGTGACGCACTGCAAAACAGAGGAAAAAATAAAAAAGCGCCTCTTCTGCGGGGTGTCCTCCACCCTGCAAACTTGGCGAAGGCAGACTGTACTAAAATACAGCACTCTCCATATAAGGGAACAAGGCTAAACATGTCATGAGTAATTTATGTGCAGTAGGCAGAGAATTAACCTCTCAGTGAACAGATCTGGCCCATCTGAAAGCCAGGCGCGCTGGCAGACGAAGGAGAAATAACCAGTTTCTCTCCCAAGAAAGCGTCGCGCGCCGGCCGCCCTGCGCTGCTGCATCCCCTTCACCCAAAGGTCACGAAGTGATAACAGTGTCTAGACACCTGTTTCTTTCTCCCCGGCCCCTCTCTTGCCGGCTCTCGCACGCTTTGTCTCCCGGCCGGCCGCGGGCTGCGAGCCTGCGCCGCCCTGCAGAGCCGCGGCAGGAAGAGCTGCTCGCCCCGCAACTGCAGCTGCGACCTTCTGCTTTCTTCTCTGCCCGAGATGGTGCGAGATATGAAACCAGAACCTGCGGTAACCCAGCCCCTGCCACACAAACTGAAAGCCAGTGAAAGCCCAATCTCACTTCCTCATTCAGCCATCTACATTTTGCAAAGAAAGAAAGAAAAGGGGGGGGAAGGGAGGGGGGAGGGGGCAAGGACCGTATGAAAAATATTGTGAAAACGGAAACTTACCTCTCACATTTTTTTTTTCAGAGACAACCAGACTGTGGACAGATTGCCCAAGGCATTGTGGGATTCATTATGACAAGATGACAAAGATTGAGAATGGAGCGTGCCAGTCCCTTGTCACAGAGGCATGCTGACAGCCACCGCTCCGTCCCTGCAGTGCGAAGACTGCTGCGCGGGGCCGGGCGGACTCTTATCTCCCCGGCTGGTTTCCGCCGCTGCCTGCGCTGCCCCTCCCCCGCCAGCAAACCCCACCAGGAAGCTTTGCTGGGCGGGCTTGCCGAGCCGAGAGAGTGCGAAGGGAAAAACAAAGCTCGTCGTGCTACTGCAGCATTTTCCCTTGGTGAAACACGAGGTACAGACCTCCCCCCCGCCCAAACAAAATAGATCAAGAGGCTGAGCAGCACTGGGTTGACTTGGAAGGCACAGAGAAATGAAGAGGAAAGAGGAGTCTGAATAAAAATATCCCCTCGCAGCGAGTGGTGGTATATTCCAGCTTACATGTAAAACATTATAACCTCTGAACCGTAGTGTAAATGTGACACGCGCACGCTGCTGTTTCCATGGGCTGTCTGCTTTGATAATGAGCAAATGCAGATTTTAAAAGCTTGTCCAAGGGACAGCCAAGAGCAGACTGCAAGGTTAGGCTGAAGGTTAAATGCACAATATACTCAAGCGCTCAGATTTTACCCCTGCTTACAGTACTGCTGCTTAACATTCCCGGGACAGTGTATGCATCTGATTAGCAAAGCACAGTCTGCACAAGACAATCTTTCTGCTGCAGCCAACACGCTGCCCACGGCCACTCTCCATTACCTGGTGCATGAGCAAGTACAGAAGAATTCCACACAAATACCAGAAATACTGCCGACCTTTCTAATCCTGGCAACAAATGTAAAACTAAACTGAAGATCATGTGGGTTACCTTTCTCAAGAACATTTCACTGTATTCCTCAAGGCCTCAAAGTTTTCTTATTTAAATAATCATGCTGAACCCAATGATCTCATGAGGTCCCTTCCAGCCCTAAACTTCTGTGTATCTGTGAACTTCATGACACACACTATAATTTACCCTGGGTTCTATGATCCAAACCTTTTAATAATTCTGGTGAAAGTTGTGCAAGGCCCAAGCCTTGCATAAAGTTACCCAAGGCCTTGCATAAAGTGGCCCAAGCCTTGCATGAAGTGACCAAATTACAAAAGTAACAAGATTTGTTTTGGCCTGGTGTTTTTAAGAAGGCTAGCAATACCTTTTTAAGTCCATTTTGCTCATGTGGGTGTTAAATATTTTTAGAGTCTGAAAACTTGGACAATACTCTTTATCATAAAAAAGACAAAAGTGGGTTTTTCTTACCACTTTTTGTGAAGCAGGGAAAATGATCACACCACTTAGTAACAAGGACTCAAGAATGGAGAATGTGAGGGTGTTTTGCTTTGTTTTATATTTAAGGAGTGGGGAGGAGGGTGTCACTTTGTTTTGTTTGCTGTATGAATAAAGAACACTATATGCTTCTTGTTTGCTGGATCTGTTCATGTAGTGCCTAAAAAGCCCTCATGTGTCTCCTGAGAATGGGAAGAACACAAGGGTAGAGCTGCTCTGGGCATCTGCATAGGGTGGGATATAAATCTAAACAATAAACAAACATAGATAACATTCAGATAAAGGACAAGCTCACTGGTAATCTGGTTATGATACTTAGCATTAATTCTACTTGCATGTTTCATTAGGCTGAACCTACATTTCAAAAGGAGTGTGATGGTGCTACTACACTGGGCCTTGAATAAAAGGCAACCTGAGTGAACAGTTTAAGCACTGACCTAATATTTTATTTTAAATAGTGCTTGAAATAAAGATAATATTTTGTTGAATTAATATCCTCAGAAGCACAGATTTTTGTGAATTAGTATTATCATTTGGCAGGTGATAATACTCAATTAGTATTGTCAATTGATTATTGTCAATTGACAATTAGTAGTGTCACTTGGTGGGTGACAAGACTAAAGGTGAAGAGACTAAAGCCTTGATTTACAAGCAGATTAAGTGACTGATCCCTGTTCTTGTGAAAAACCCAGATGACTTAGTGGGTAATAGGGCTTTCACAAGGATATAGAGTTTCACCTCAAAAGATCAGGACTTTGGCTACTGTAGAATTAGTTATACATGCCGAGATTTCACAAAGGTATACAGAAGCGCCATGGGAGTGTTCCTGTAAACTTCAACAGGGACAGGTTTTTGTATATATATAACACAAAATATATATTGTATATATGACAAATGTGTGTAAGATATCAACTCAATTTTCAAACATGGATGACTGCAAAAGAACCCTATTTGAAGGACTGGATTCACATGTAGGACTTTTTTTTTATCATTAAATGCATTTATACTCACCACCACCACAACACACAATATACAACACAGTACTCAGTTGCTTATATCTGTAAGTTCATCATGATTCTTCAACAACAAAAATTACCTCTTCTCTGCTACTCACTACGTTTATGTCCAAGCAGAAGAGGGTGGCTCATTCTGAAGTACAGATCCAGAGCCAGTGGATACTGTAGTGTCAACTGGAGCACTGAAATGTGAAACTAATGGCACTTATACATGTGCTCCAGGGAGGGGGCCTTTTGGAGCAGCTTTTGGAGCCGTTCTGATTAAAATGCTCACAGTGTCTGGTGTATTCAGCATCAAAATGGTGGTGCGGGTGCTTTAACGAGAAAGCTTTAATTAAAGCACCCCCACCACCTTTTGAAATGTGGGGATGCTGAATACATGAGACACTGAAGCAGGCTGGAGCATTCTGATTAGAACACTCCAGTAAATTCAGTTAATCGAATCTGCTCTGATTAATTTTAATCAGAACACATCGGAGCACGTGTAAAAGTGCCTTAAGTGTCCAAGTCAGAAAATTAGGCTAGAAAGTTACTGAAAAATTTACGATGTGTAGAAAAATGAGTGCACCACCTAATAGTAACTACAGTAGAGAAACATAATTTAAAGATATGTCGTGTCAAATTTCCACAGCAGATTTCAGGAAGAAGAAAAATTGTTTCTGGAAGAAGAAAAATTCAGCTGAAAATACGTGATTCACAGTGATCTAGTCATCCATTATATACTATCGGCCCATCAGCTGAAATTATGAGATTCACAGTGATCTGGTCATCCATTATATATTATTGGCCCATTATATACTAGAGGCCCATTTCCATCCTAGGGAAAATCCTAGAAAAGTTCATCAAGGAGTCTATCTGCGATAAGCTTGCAGAAGGTAAGATTCTGAGTGATAGCCAGCATGGCTTTGTCACATCACAGTCAGGTCTTGCCTTACCAACCTCATCTCCTTCTATGACCAGGTAACTTGCCACCTGGACACAAGAAAGCAGGTTGACCTTGTATACTTAGACTTCCAAAAGGCCTTTGGACCTACTATTCCACAATGTCCTCAAGAGAAAATTGGAGGATTGTGGGCTTAACTCCGAGACAGTCAGGTGGGTAAGAAACTGGCTGCAGGATAGGATCCAGACTCTCATAGAAAATGGATCTGTGTTGTCCTGGTGAGAAGTGGGCAGCAGTGTCCCACAGGGGTCAGTGCTTGGTCCAGTACTTTTCAACATCTTTATTAACAATTTGTATGTGGGGGTGAAGAGCTCACTGGCCAGTTTTGCAGAAGACACCAAGTTATGGGAGAGTGTGGTCACACTTGAAGATAGGCTACAGATACAGGCGGACCTAGACAGGTTAGCAAGTTGGGTGGATCAGAATCTGATGAAGTTCAACGTCAAGAAATTTAAAGTGCTCCACCTCGGGACAAGCAACCCCCAACATACCTACAGGCTTGGTGGCACCAAACTGATTAGCACCATGAAAGAAAGGGGCCTAGGGGTAATAATAGGCCACAGGATGAATATGAGCCAGCAGTGCGATGCTGTAGCCAGTAGGGCAAACAATACTCTGGAATGAATTAATGGGCACATCTCCATCAAAACCAAGGAGGTGATTCTTTCACTCTACTCGGCACTGGTGAGACCGCAGCTGGAGTACTGTGTCCAGTTCTAGACACCACACTTTAACAAGGACATGGACAAGCTCGAGAGAGTCCAAAGAAGATCCACCCATATGATCAGAGTCTTACGCAGCAAGCCATACAAGGAAAGGCTGAGGGACCTGAGACGCTGCAGCCTGAAGTAAAGAAGGCTCAGAGGAGACCTGGTAGCAGCTTACCACTACACTAGGGGAGTACATCAAGGGCTCGGTGAGCAACTGTTCACCAGGGCACCCAAGGGGAAAACTAAGAGTAATGGCCACAAACTCTTGAAAGTTCAGGATCAACATTAGGAAAAACTTCTTCATAGTCAGGGTGTCAAGACTGTGGAATAAGCTCCCTCCAGAGGTAGTGCAATCACCTACCTTGGTAATCTTCAAGAGGAGACTGGACAGTCACCTTGCTGGGGTCACCTGACCCCCAGTTATCTTTCCTGCTTGGTACAGGGGGATGGACCCAATGATCTTCCAAGGTCCCTTCCAACCTTACAATCTATGAATCTGTAATTCACCCGTCACCCTGGCATATAGGACAGGGGCAGGCAATTATTTTGGGCAGAGGGCAAGCCATCAAGGGCCGGATGACAGGCAGCTAGGGGCAGATAAATATTAATTTTCTAAATTTTTTAGGAGCCCTTTGGGCCAGATAGAATGGCCTGGGTGGCTTCATCCAGCCCCCGGGCCGCATTTTCCCACCCCGATATAAAACCTAGGAACAAAGCTAGAATTTAATGAGGTTTTACCGCCTTTTCTTGATCTGCATTGCTCTGTTAGAATCTGCATCCAGCCTGAATCTACCTCTACAAGATACTGATTGTACTTTTAATTAACTTCTTATTATTTTTCTGTCACGTTTATAGCTGACTTCTATGCCTCAGGTAACTTGTGTTCTTAAGGTCCTTACTTAAAGTAAGTAACTGTTTAAGTAAAGCAATGGCAAAATTCTTAAACTTTGTCACTGCTCCTAAGGCACAAGGCATGTTCCAGATAAACTAAACCTAAACAGCAAAAAAGACATACAAGACCAGAACTATATGCATTTCTTCCTGATGACATTTTGTTAGCTATTTGTTTCAAAATATTGCATTGTATAAAACAACTGTTTATTGTTTGAGACTGAGTAATTTAAAATGGATACACAAATATATTTTTAAAACATTACTTTAAATAATCCTTTTCCCCCAAAACTTTCAAATTTAATTTCTGTTTGTACCCATAGGGAACAATTTAGAAAATTGTTACCTTATGGCCACTACAGTAACATTTTCTCTACAGTCTCTGTTTTTAAAATAAATGCTAGGCCAATTAGTCAAAGACAAAGAAATCTATTCTTTGACTTCTGTGTAGGGAAGTAGTTCCCTTCTGCTAAACACAGTTATAAAGTTTAGTCCTGATTCTACAAGCTTGTGAGCTACTTTTCTTGCATTTTGCAGGACTGGGCACAGAACTCCCCCTGATCCTGTTGGAAAACCTCATAAAATGCAGATGAATAGAGAAAGTAGCAACATCTTTAAAATTGCTGTTTATCCTGTTTAGAGATTTTAAATATTTTAAATTGTGCAGTTTAAAAAAATTCATAGTTTCATAGTTTAATCACTATAGTGCTTTTCTGAATTGGTTTTCCCAATTAAAGATGTCAAAATAAAATGAAAATCCACTAAGAAAAGGTTTACTTCCAAACCAGCCCCACTCTGTTCCCCTTTAACACACTAATAATTGTGCCATCAGAAGACAGACCGTGTAGAAAGTGGGATAGTGTCCAGGTGGCTGTATCAGTTTTTCAATGATGAGGAGAAGATTTCCTACTGGAGGATCTATCCCTAGAAAAGACTGGTCTCCTTAGTAACCACAGCAAAGTGCAACAATGGACCTCTTTAAAAAAGCAGGTAGAGTCGAAGTGCAGATACCAGAAGATCCTCATGTAGTCAAGTTGCACACAGCTCAGGAAGTTAAAAATAAAGGATTTTTTTTCTGATTAGCATTCCACCTCAGGGCTCATCTAATTTAATATGAATTCCATGGCAAAGCTCCCAATAAGCAGAACCATTCCCTCATGGATTTTCAATTTCTTTTATTTCAAAAAGAGTTAAATATGTTCTTAAGTATTTGGTAACAATCAAGTCATAATTTACAATGCTACAGATATTTAAAATATAAAGACTTTAATTATATGAGAACATGAAAATCTGTAAAACTGTTATTTACTCTGTCTATTCATTACAATTTTTTGGAGGAGATTATTGTTCATTTATCAAACAAATACAGACTGTTCCGAATAAAAATACAAGCAGACACACACATATACATACGTACAGTGTGCTACTATATTAGAAGGTATTTGCAGCAACTCAAGTACCTCCCTGTGGGAAAGGAAATGCTTTGTAAGTAAAGTTATTGTATATAATT